ACCATACATCATTGTCCCTCCAGATATATTACTTGGCCCTCGAGATACATTACTTGGCCCTCGAGATACATTACTTGGCCCTCGAGATACATTACTTGGCCCTCCTGATATATTACTTGGCCCTCCTGATATATTACTTGGCCCTCCTGATATATTACTTGCCCCTCGAGATACATTACTTGCCCCTCCGAACAATCAAGTCTGGCTAAGGACCTGGTTGTCATTTCAAAAGTGAGGCATTAGCTCCAAATGCCTCCTTTACGCTACGGCTTTGGTGATTGGTTCAAATCATCTTTATGTAGGGGAAACTCCGATTCTATGAACAGTGTTTTACACAGTCTTCTCGGTGATGATTTTCAATCATTTTCACCAGTTTTATCAGATTGTAAGTTGTGAGTTGATTTTATTCTAAGGCGATGAAATGAAATGAACCGAGTTTACGTCCTACTCTTCTGCACCTAATTAGACTAATGAAGACGGCATACAGTGTGCAATGAGGGAAATTTTTGCCAGGCCAATGGCATTAGCCTACACTTTTTTTCGATTTCCAGCTGTCGAGATATCTTTAAATTCAGAAAGGTGATAAGGGAAATTAAAGCAAATATTTAGACGACTATTTACCTTTGAGATTCTCAAATAAGATCAGTTCATTGTCTTCAATTAATACATAATTAACATAAATAACCATAAACTTTAACATTTATCATAAATAGTCTGGTGGCCTAAATATATTATACAAACATTAGCTTTGTGCTAAAAAACAATGTTTAAAAAATCCAGTAATCTGATTGGTTAATAAATCTCTTTTAAAATCTTCTTTAGTGACCAATCAGATGACTGGAATTTTTTCGAGTCAAATTACCATGAAAATGGCTCAGAATCAGAAAGTTTTTCTATAGGCCTACCTCTGATTTACTATTTACTAAGTTTTATAGTTTCACAAAATGCGCATTATACAAAGATGCGTATTATATTCAGAAATATACAGTATAGAGTAAACATTATGAAAACTGATAAAGACATTAAGAAGATGATGTAAAATAATACGACATATGAAAGCTAATAAATATTTTTTTTTTACTA